GCATTTGATATGTGAAAGACCAAATCCAGTCTTCAAAATGTGTACTAATTCCTTGTTCCTGGTGATTTGGAATCCCATATACACATCTGGGGTTTTAAAAAACACAGTGCGATAATGAGAACTGACAGAAAAACTGGACTGGACTTTTTGGCTTGTCCTCATGTAGATCTCCTCATAAATGAACTTCTTGAGAGTCTTCGAATGTCCCAACCAGCCAGACTAGGGGGCAGGTGTGAAGCAAAGGGCAAATTAAATTGTTTAAGAAGCTTTTGATCTAAAAGGGTAAGTACTGTTTTCCCATTTTTCTTCATGAAGGTACAAACACTTAAGTAAAATAGGATTACAGTAAACTATCATCTAAATTTACTGATCATTATCTGTATTCTACAAGGCCAGTCTAATACGCTTTACTTTTTACCAGTAAGGAAACTAAAGTTCAAAGAGGTAAAGATCATACAACTAAGAAGTATCAGAACTGAAATTCAAACGTAGTTACTCTCCATTTTCAGGAAATCTCAGTGTAATAAGGGTTATAAATGCACAAGAAATTTAAATATTAGATTAAAATAATAAAAGATTAAAATCCTTCTTTGGAAGATTAAAATCCTTCTTTGGAAGATCAATTTAAAAAAGATTAGACAAGGACCGGGCGCGGTGGCTCAAGCCTGTAATCCCAGCACTTTGGGAGGCCGAGGCGGGTGGATCACAAGGTCAAGAGATCGAGACCATCCTGGTCAACATGGTGAAACCCCGTCTCTACTAAAAATACAAAAAAGTAGCTGGGCATGGTGGCATATGCCTGTAATCCAAGCTACTCAGGAGGCTGAGGCAGGAGAATTGCCTGAACCCAGGAGGCGGAGGTTGCGGTGAGCCGAGATCGCGCCATTGCACTCCAGCCTGGGTAACGAGTGAAACTCCGTCTCAAAAAAAAAAAAAAAAGATTAGACAAGATATAAGTGCCATAAGATAATTTTCAAAAAATGCTCTTGAGGTTCAGGGGGAAAAAAACATATCTAGCTAGAAAACTTGCTGAGAAGCATTTTATTTATATCTACTCTATGCAGATACTGTGCTAGACATTGAAAATATAAAAGTGAGTAAGCAACACCCCTGCCCTCAGGGAATTTTTACTCTAGTATGTTATGGGAGACTTGGACAGTATTTGAAAAAGCACCAGTGCTGTCAGATAAATAAGTGTCTGTGGTCAATCTGTCCTTGTTTGGAATCCATTTCAGCCTGGAAAGCTAGACCTATGTCTGGCACAGAGCCTTGAAACTGTCTTTTGCTATAAATAGACATGGCTGGAATTAAGAGGACTTCCTCTGTAAAAATATTGGATTTCATTATCAGATATCCAGCCATGCTTTTTCAGTTTGGATACTGTCTTGAGAAACTGCTTCAACCATGAAAACATCTTTAATGAGGATTTTTTTATTCAGCGGTGAATTAATTTAGAACACGGGCTTTGGAGTAAGATGACCCATATTTGAGTCCCAGGTACTCCATTGTGTGACTTTGGCAAAGTTAAATGTTGCTTTAGTTAACTCATTTGTAAAAGGGAGCTAAAAATACCCTCATAGGGCTGTCGTAAGAGTTAAATGAGAAAAAAATTTAGTTAAATGAGATACATGTCTGAAGTAATTTTAGAAAATGCCTAGAGTATAGAAAACCCCTCAGAACAACCACCATTGTTATGACCAGTTATGGTAATACTAGTTAAAGCTTTCTCCACAAACAGTGCTATGGCCCTGCTTTGAATATTCTCTCAATGATTATGTCTGTACCCCCAGAATTATAACTTAGAAACCTCCAGGATTGCTTTCGATTATTTAAGTATGCATGAAGATGTTTACCTCACATTATGATACAGGATCAGAAAATTACAAAGTCACATACAACCCAAGTACTCACTGTATTTCTCATTTTTCATCCTGTTTAGAGCACTTGACCATGTGTCTCTCTTTTCTCCCATATTCCCAGCCTGAACACTCTGCTTCTTTCTTGGCCTCCTATTTATTCCAAGCCCCATCTCACTGCCATTTTGCCCTTTAAAAGAAAACCTATTATATCCCTTGGCCTTCTCAGTCCCTATGTCCTCTACAGAAAGGAAAAGCAAAATAAAAATGAGGATGACACTGGATACAGAAAATAGGAACACAACATATGAGGTGATGGGAGTTTCCAGGATGATAGTGAAAGCAATTGCGGAATAGCTGTGCACACCAGATGAGGGAAGTCTGCACAAGGCTCTGAGAGAGAATTCTTTCAAAAGATAAAATTGATAGTATACCTGATCCTTTTGAGAGGAAATTTAGGCAGCCGATTTAAGTTTGGATCAATAAGTACATTGAAAACTGAGCAAAGGGAGAAAATAAGACAGTAACTCCAGAAAAAACAAAAATGTTACAAGAAGAGAAAACCAGTGATACCTCACTACGTGGCTTAGCTTTGAATTGTATTTACAAATTCATAACATAAAATCTGATGTTGATCTCAATGAAGTTATGATGTAATTATATTGGGAAGATGGGTATATGTATGTGGTGGTGGGGGTGGGGAGAAGAAAGAGAACTCAAGTCTTTTCCATAGTAGAAAGTTAATAGTGCTCAAAACTGACAAATCAAGAAGTAACAAAACAAGCATTTTATTTATTTAGTTTTTTTTTTTTTTGAGATAGAGTCTCACTTTGTTGCCCAGGCTGGGGTGCATCACAGCTCACTGCAGCCTTGAACTCCCAGGCTCAAGCAGTCCTCCTTAGTAGCTAGGACTATAGATGTGTGCCACCACACCCAGCTATTTTTTTTTTTAAAGTTTCTTGTAAAGATGGGGATCTCACTATATTCTCCATGCTGGTCTCAAACTCCTGAGCTCAAGCAGTCCTCCCATCTCAGCCTCCCAAAGTGTTGGGATTACAGGTATGAGCCACCGTGCCTCAAGTAGAGACGGATTCTCCCTATGTTGCCCAGGCTAGTCTCAAACTCCTGGGCTCAAGGGATTCTCCCTCCTCAGCCTCCCAAAGTGCTGACATTACAGGCATGAGCCACTACACCCAGCCATGAAGTATATTATTTAGAAACATGGAGGTAAATATTAAAATGGTCAAAGTAGTAAATGTTTTTTAGGAGGAAGAAATTGGAAGAGGTGAGCGTGGGAATGCCCTTTTTTGGTACTAATCTTATGTAATGGTTTAACTTTTTAAGCTTTATGCAAGTGTAACTTCAAACACAAATGCACAGCCACAAAGGCCAAAAAGTAGGTGAAAGAAAAACAGCTAGAAGGAAAAAAAAACAGGTTACACATTTTACTTATTTATTTATTTATTTTTAAAAATATCATTTAAGGCTGGGTGTGGTAGCTCACGCCTGTAATCCCAGCACTTTGGAAGGCCAAGGTGGGTGGATCACTCGAGGTTAGGAGTTCAAGACCAGCCTGGCCAACATGATGAAACTTCATCTCTACTAAATACAAAAAGTAGCCAGGTGTGGTGGTGGGTGCTTGTAATCCCAGCTACTCAGGAGACTGAGACAGGAGAATCACTTCAACCCGGGAGGTGGAGTTTGCAGTGAGGTGAGATTGTGCCACTACACTCCAGCCTAGGCAACAGAACGAGACTCTGTCTCAAAAATAAAAATAAAATATCGTTTAAAAATGTGGTTGCGTACACAAGGAAAATTTTTGAAAGAATGTACTAAAATAACTCTGAATTTAAAGAAATTTTTCCTTCTTTTGTTATACTTCTGTGAATTTTTTGCATGTATTACTTTTGTAATCAGACAGAAAAGAAGTTTCATATTACAGGAACAGGAAACAATTAGAAATGTGAGAGGAAAACTATGTACAAAGATGTTCATTTCAACATTGTTTATAGTACTAAGAAATCAAACAACCTGTGTAATCAGGAAGTGGGCAATAAATGATGTTACATAAATCTAGTGAAATATTTTATAGGTGTAATTTTTAAAAAGAAGCTGTAAACAACTTTATACTTATATGATTTTCACCTTTAATCATATTGTACCCCTAGCTAAAATGCCCTAATGCCCTTTTCCCTCCTTCCCTTTTCTTTTTCTTTCTTTATTTTCTTTCTATCTTTCTTTTTCTTTCTTGTATGTATGTATGTATTTAGAGACAAAAGTCTTCCTATATTGCCCAGGCTGCAGTGCAGTGGTACAATCTCAGCTCACTGCAACCTCTACCTCCTGGGTTCATGCAGTTAGCCTGCCTCAGCCTCCCAAGTAGCTGGGATTACAGGCACGTGGCACCACACCTAGCTAATTTTTGTATTTTCAGTAGAGATGGGGTTTTACCATGTTGGTCAGGCTGGTCTCGAACTCCTGACCTCAAGTGATCCACCTGCCTTGGCCTCCCAAACTGCTGGGATTACAGGCATAAACCACTGCGTCTAGCCTACCCTGCCCTTTCTTTTCATTTATATATATATATATATATATATATATATTCTTTTGGCTCTAGTAAAATTGATATTTTCTTACCATTATATCCTTCAAAAAACTCTGACAGGCACCATCACCTCTCCACCCCATTCCATTTTCACCTCCATCCTAACTGCACGAGTTAACTCATTCCGTGTCTTGGAAATATTCTGAACAGATACTCTATATCTGTACTTACCACCTTATATTATAATTATGTGTTTGACTTCCCCACTAAGCTTTAACCCTGAAAGCTGGGATTGGGTCTTACTTATTGTTGTCACTTCAGTACAAACACAGGGCCTAATAAATAGTAGATGCTTAATAAATGTTTGCTGGATAAAGTAATGAGTAATGTGGAAATATACTTGTGTTATGATATTACGTAGATAAGGGAAAGTAGTACCTACATTTCAGGGTTGTATGAAGATTATTAGATGGGAAAATTCATGTAAAACAGCTGGCCTAATGCCAAGCATGTAGGTGTTCAGTGTATGGTAAGGATAAAGATGGTGGTGATTATGCTAGTAACAGTTGTGAGAGTTGTGTATTTTTTGTTTTCAACAGACAGCCCCAGTACGGGCCTTGGACCTTGTGGATGGATTTTGGTGGCTGTCTCATTCTTATTCACACTTGTAACTTTCCCAATCTCAATATGGATGTGCATAAAGGTAAAGAACATTTCATTCACTTCTGGGAAGGAGTCAACTCCTACCTCCATAAACCTACTTTATGTATGCGTGTGTGTGAGAAAGAGACAGAGAAATACTGTCTCTCTCTTGTAATTCTTATTTCTTTATCTTTCTTTTGGAAAATTTATACTACTCACCTATTAAAATGGAACCTTAAAACTTCTTTTCAGTCATTGCTCTTACATGTGGGCTAAAGTAAGGATCACCATCAAAAATGTCCTGGGGTCAGGGATGTGAGATGGTTCTGAGAGAACAAGTTATTTAGAGTTAGAATTGTGTGGTCTGACTGCTGGCTTTACTGTTTACTGTGTGACCTTTGCTGTTTCCTCACCTGTAAAATGGGAGAAAGTAACAATACCTACTTCACAGGATTATTGCGAGGATTAAATGAGTTAGTGTGTCTAAGTGTACTTATCACAATGCCTGGCACATCATAAGTACCCTCAGTGCTGGTTATTGTTTTCTACTAAGTTGTTAATACTTTGATATATGACTATCATTTCCATATTTCTAAGAAGATAAAATCTGCTCCAAGCATTTTCAGATCAATTTATTCTTAAGGGAATCAGAAGAAAAATTGTGAAGACTTCAGCTTTTTGTTTTTTTTGAATTAACAATGCATGAGTAATTTTTTTCTTTTTTTTTTTTTTTTTTTTTTTTGAGATAGACTCTCACTCTGTCTCCTAGGCTGGAGTGCAGTGGTGCTATCTCAGCTCACTGCAACCTCCATCTTCCAGGTTCAAGCGATTCTCCTGCCTCAGCCGCCTGAGTAGCTAGGATTGCAGGTGCCTGCCACCAGGCCCAGCTAATTTTTGTATTTTTTGTAGAGACATGGGTTTCACCATGTTGGCCAGGCTGGTCTTGAACTCCTAACCTCCCAAAATGCTGAGATTACAGGTGTGAGCCACCATGCTAGGCCTGCATGAGTAACTGAATAACGATGTTAACATCTGAGAAGTGAGGTTATGGATTTGTCTCTGTGTCCTATTCTGTCCTTCCTAAATTTATACAGTGAGTATCTATTGCTTTTGTAATCAGTACAAAAATTAAAAATATCATGCTTTGAGAAGGTAAACATTGGACATGTTATACATATGATTTGGATCTAAAGAAAGTAGATGAGGCATCTAATCTGTTTTGAGCAAAAATATATATATAAGAAGCCATGCATGTATATATTTGTACTCTTTATGTTAAATTATCATTTGTGTTTTTATTCTAGATTATAAAAGAGTATGAAAGAGCCATCATCTTTAGATTGGGTCGCATTTTGCAAGGAGGAGCCAAAGGACCTGGTCAGTACTGGGATTCTGGATTGTTTATCTGAAAATGAAAGTTCTTTTTAACTTTTTTATTTTTATTTTTTTTTTAAGACAGGGTCTCATTCTGTCGCCCAGGCTAGAGGGCAGTGGCATGCTTATGGCTCACTGCAGCTTTGAACTCCTGACCTCAAGTAATCATCCCACTCCAGCCTCCCAAAGCACTAGGATTACAGACATGAGCCACCGTGCCCAGCCCAAAATTTTTTATTGATGTGATTTCCCTTATGAGGGCTTCTACTCTGTCTTAGAAAATAGTTCATGTAGCAGAAGTTGTATAACAATAGCAGTTGCTCTAGCCAATCTTTTGTTACCCTTTCCTTCCTACCTTTCCCCTCCTCTTCCCATTTGAGCTGATAAGATTACCTCTTAAGCCAAGAATAGCTACATCTATACAAGTTTGAGCGTGAGAATCTCTACCGAAGAAAGACTTTCATTCATTTGGCAAACTTCAGTTAAGCTCCTACTGTGTTCCAGGCTCTGGGAATTCAAGGGAGACTAAAACATAGTCCCTACCCTCAGGGATCTTCCCATCTAGTGGTAGGACATGAACAAGGAAACAGATAGCTACAACCCTATGTGATAAGTGACATGATCAAGTACTCACAGAGAGCTTTGAGAAAAGACTAAACCAGAGTAGTATTACTGATCCGAACTAGTAGTAGGCTGAAGTAAGGCTTTCTGGAAGTTACATTTTGATTGAGTCTTGAGGTCTGAAAAAGTGTTAACTAGTAGTAGGCTGAGGCAAGGCTTTCTGGAAGTTACATCTTGACTGAGTCTTGAGGTCTGAAGAGGTATTAACCAACAGGAGGTGTTTGCAACAAAAATAGCAAACATAGAAGGGAGTACTGCAGATTGAAGAAACTGGAAGTAGATCAGTCCAGCAGGAGTGTAGGGTGGGAAGAGAGAGGAAGTGGCTGAAGAGGACAACAAAGGCAGTTGTGCAGGACCCTGCATGGTGGAGGGTTTGTACTGTAAAGGGGATTGCTCTGCTTGCAGCTTAGGAAATAGATTATAGTAGAGAAACTACAAAAAATAGAGAGATGGCCCAGGAAACGATTGCATTGGTGGCAGTTTTAGCGGGGAGGGGAAGAGTGACAGTAACAATGGATTAAGGAAATGAACTCCGCAGGCGTTAGTGGGGGCAGTCAAGTGTGGGAAGTAAGCAAGAGGAATCAAAGTTACCCTCCTGGCTCTGGCTCATTCATGAAGATGAACTAATGACTTTTCAGTTCATTAGGTTGAGGTTGCTGGTGTCTCTATAATATGTGTATCTTTGTTGCAGGTTTGTTTTTTATTCTGCCATGCACTGACAGCTTCATCAAAGTGGACATGAGAACTATTTCATTCGATATTCCTCCTCAGGAGGTAAGGTTTTCTTTGAGTAACTGAGATATAATATGTGAAAGTGCTTTACAAGTGCTTTACAATGAGAGACAACATTGTTAGAGCATAGGCTTTATTTATTTATTTAAATTTTTATTTATTTATTTATTTATTTTCTTAATCTTTGAGGAGTCAGTTTGACATTGTAATCTCTCCCAAAATCCTTCTTTTTTATTTTTATTTATTTTTTTTATTTTTTATTTATTTATTTATTTATTTTTAATTGCATTTTAGGTTTTGGGGTACATGTGAAGAACATGCAAGATTGTTGCATAGGTACACACATGGCAGTGTGGTTTGCTGTCTTCCGTCCCCTCACCTGTATCTTTCATTTCTTTATTTTTAATTGAGACGGAGTCTCGCTCTGTCACCTAAGCTGGAATGCAGTAGTGTGATCTCGGCTGACTGCAACCTCTGCCACCCAGATTCAAGTGATTCTCCTGCCTCAGCCTCCTGAGTAACTGGGACTACAGATGTGTGCCACCATACTTGGCTAATTTTTTTGTATTTTTAGTAGAGACAGGGTTTTGCCATGTTGGCCAGGCTGGTCTTGAACTCGTGACCTCAGGTGATCCTCCTACTTTGACCTCCCAAAGTTCTGGGATTACAGGCGTGAGCCACGTGCCCGGCCAGAGCATAGACTTTAAATCCTGACTGCCTTCAGCATTTCTAGCTCAGTGACCTTAAGCAAGTTCTTTAACTTTTCTGTGCCTCAGTTTCCTCATCCAGAAAATAGAGGTTGTAATAGTAAGAACTACTGTATAGGGTGGTTCTGAGAAGTAAGTGAGATATATGTGCAAAATACTTAGAGCAATGGCTGGTAAATAGTAAGTACTATAGAAGTTTTTACTATTATTATTACAGTTGGCCCATTGCTTGCATGGGTTTTGCATATAGCGATTCAACCAACCACAGATGGAATGTATTAGGAAAAAAACTCCTCAAAGTTTCGAAGAGCAAAACTTCAATTTGCCATGCATAAGTATGGCATTGAATGTACATGAATGAAGTGATATGTAGGCATTGTATTGGATAATACAAGTAATCTAGAGATGATTTAAAGTATACAGGAAAATGTACATAGATTATACGGTTGGCACTCCTAATCCACGGGTTCCGCATACATGGATTCAACCAACCATGGATCAAAAATATTTGGTGGAAAAAGCAATAGACAGTGATATAATACAAATTTAAAAAAACACTATAGTATAGCAACTATTTATATAACATTTACATTATGTTAAGTATAATAAGTACTCTAGAAAGGCTTTATAAAGGAGGATATGCATGAGTTATATGCAAATATTGTGCCACTGTATATAAGGGACTTGAGCATCCTTGGATTTTGGTATCCACTGGGGGTCCTGGAATCAATCTCCCACAGATACCAAGGGATGATTATTATAAAATGTAGTGTAATGCTAATGTAAGTATAATAATATCATCATTGTTGTTACTATCGCCATTTTTACTGCCATGTTTTTGGGTTTTTACTGCCATGTCTATGGGTTTCTGATAGAAAACCCTATTTAGTACATTATTTTTTCTTCTAAAGGTTTTATTCTAAATAAATTGGTTAGAAACCAAAGAAATTAGAAACTGCTTGTTGGACATTTTAGATAAAACATATAATATTTTATACTAGTGATTGTTTTGTGCCTTTTCGAACTACTTCACAAATACTACTGTAGATGAAACTCACAGCAGAATCCCTAGAAAGTATACAGTTGCAGTGAAACAAAGGAATTCCTCCAGATTACAGTGGCAGAGCCAAAACTAAAATTGAGCTCTCTAGATTCCCTATCTAGTACTTTTTGCACAGCTCCATACTAAATGAATTGTACATGAACTCCCTTATGGCCCCCCAAAAAGTGATGGCCATCCTGGGAACCATGTCCTTAGGAGGCATAGTTGAGCACAGTGGCTCACACCTGTAATCCCAGCACTTTGGGAGACTGAAGTGGGTAGATCACGAGGTCAGGAGTTCAAGACCAGCCTGGCCAAAATGGTAAAACCCTGTCTGTACAAAAAATGAATAAATCAATACAGACAAGTAGAAATGCAAATAAACAATGTCACTACAGTGAGGTGCAGTGGATGTGCAAGGGAAGAGTGCTTAACTCTACCAAGTAAGTCAAGGAAGTTTCACAGAGAGAAGGACATTTAAATGATCAGTAGAAAGGTGCCAACCTGATATTGTGAGTGAGAGAGGCTGGAACTCCCAGGCTGGAATAATCTTCCTACCTCAGTCTCTGAGTAGCTGGAACTACAGGTGTATGCCGCCATGCCCAGCTGGCTTTTTTCTTATTTTCTAAATTAACTTATTAGTTAAGTCAATGTTTTATTCAGAAAAGTTACCACAGTTATCCAAGATAAAATGATAATACAGCTCTTACTTGCCAGGTACTTTTCTGAGCACTTGAATATATTTAATGCATTAATTCTAGCAACAATGCAAAGGGTACTATAATTAATTTCTCCTTTACAAATGAGAAAACTGAGTCCCAGTGAGTTTAAGTGACTTATATAACTGTTTTCCTGGAACTTCTCACTCAGATAACATTTTAGTTTAAAACAAAATTATGTCATGTTTAACATTTTTATGTAGCATGCTGTAAAATACGTTTTTATGCTGACCTTACTCTTTAAAAACATTCACCTGTACTTTTCATTCCAGTAATATTGTGCAACTTGTGGTTTATCAAACCTTGACTCTCTAGTGTCTCTCTCTTGAATATTCTTCCACTCCACCCGACACCCTCAGAAAAATTGTATTCCTTTCTTCAAAATTCAATTCAGGTATCACCCCTGCTGCCCACAGATGCCCCTAAAAGCTTCCTTTGGTTCCCTAACCTCCTTCAAAGTAGGAACCAAGTTTTTTCCTACTTTAATCCCTGGAACCTGGTACATTGCCTGCTGTTGAATGGTATCTTGATATTTGTATGACTGAACAAATTAATGGACTTGAATAAATACATTTATTTTATTAAATGTTAAAAGGTATAATTAGCTTTCTGATGCCTTCCTAAAGAAAATCAGCTACTATTATAAGGTATTCTATAGAATAATATTGCTTACAGTTATGTTTAAAAATGGTTGACAGATGTAAAATTTCTTCCTTCATCTTGTAGATCCTCACTAAGGATTCAGTGACAATTAGCGTGGATGGTGTGGTCTATTACCGTGTTCAGAATGCAACCCTGGCTGTGGCAAATATCACCAATGCTGACTCAGCGACCCGTCTTCTGGCACAAACTACTCTGAGGAATGTTCTGGGCACCAAGAACCTTTCTCAGATACTCTCTGACAGAGAAGAAATTGCACACAACATGCAGGTGGGGAGTGCGTTGATTCTGTTGCCCGCCCAGAAACTGAAAAATGAAGCAAAGCAGAGAGTCAATAGATGTTTGAGAACCTTTTATTAATTCAAGTTGCGGGGGGTCTGTGGATTTTTTTTTTTTTTTTTTTTTTTTTTTTGCTTCATAGTAAAGTTTTTCAAATTTGGTGGGAGGGGACATTTTTCACATTAGCAGTTCATGAGTTAGTAACACTCATGCATACATTTTTTAAAAATTTTCTTTAGTGGATATTTTTTTTCCAGAATCAGTAATCACCTTTTTGTTTAGAACAGAGGCTATTCCATAAGGTAGTGTAGGTATCACTAAAGCTTTATTCTGTGTGTGAGTCCCATGAATTATATATAACTGTTGTGCTTTCCAGTCTTTCTTAACAGATACTCAGTTAAGCATAGCTTATTCAAAAAAGATAACGTGCTATAACTCTGGATTCTTATTTTTGTATAGACTTCATTGTGGGTAAAATCTATGATTGTATTTGATATCCACAACAACCTATGAAATAGATGTGTGGCTTCATTCCTGCCCTTCTAAAGGGAGGAAGTCGAAGCACAAAGAAGACATATGGCTTACACAAAGTCACATTAGCTCAGGAGTTGGCAAACTAGCCTATAGGCTCTGGTTTTTGTAAGTAAAGTTTGATTGGCATATATTCACAGCCATTTATTTATATAGTATCCGTTTATATAGTATCCAGGGCTGCTTTTTACTACAACAGCTGACTTAAATAGTTGAGATGGAGACTACAAATAAATAATCACTATCTAGCCCTTTTAGAAGAAGCTTGTTAACCCCTGCATTCGCTTGTTGGCAGCAGAATCAGGATCAGTGAGCCAGCCCCAGTGTCACCATTCCTTCCACCATAGAGTAACTGTCTCTCCACAACCCTACCCAGCACCTTGTCTCCTCTAAATCCCAGTGAATATAGCCTCTGTCGGCATCTGGGCTGGGCTGAGCAGATTCAGCTTGCCTTCTCTCTTCCTAACAGACTACTCTAGATGATGCCACTGATGCCTGGGGAATAAAGGTGGAGCGTGTGGAAATTAAGGATGTGAAACTACCCGTGCAGCTCCAGAGAGCTATGGCTGCAGAAGCAGAAGCGTCCCGCGAGGCCCGCGCCAAGGTAACATTTTTTTTTAGCTTGTTTTTCTTGTTGAGTTTTATCTTTTATTAATAATTACATAAAAGTAAAACATGCTTGCTGTGAAAACTTGAAATAATCTTGAAGTGGTAAAGTTAGTAGAAGTGAAAGCCCTCCCCATAACTTCAAATCGTATTCCTCCAGAGGTCACCAGTCTAAACGGTTGAGTGTATTTGGATTTTATTTGACTAGGTTTTTGGATCACTGGCTTGTTTTACAAAAGTAGGGTTATACTGCACGTGTTGTCCTGTGTTTTGCTTTCTTCATGTAATATTAGTATCTATGGTCATATCAGTGCATACAGAGTTACCTCATTCTTTTATGACTGTGTGTACCATACTTTATTCTTCCAGTTCAGTAGTAAGGACAAATTAACAGTCCTTCCAGCTTCAGAGCAAGCGGGTCATCATTCCATCCATATCACCCATCTCTTACTTATTTTTGGCTCCTTTTTTGTTCTGTTTCTCTTCTCAGGATCTTTTTCCCTTTTACTGTTTCCTATCCCTCATTCTCTCTTTTCCTCTTGTTTAGATTCTCTTACTTTATCGTCTTCCTTTTTTCTCCGTTCTTTTCATCATCATCTGCCTATGTCTTAACCCTGCGTGGGTGGCATGGCCCCTCTGGGAGGCTCTGAGGAAATATTTATTAACCTAACCTAGAGAAGAGTATCATTAAAGATGATAATGTGTACAAGTTCGAGGATATCTCACCAAACCCAAGGTTAGGAAGTAGGGGCAAGTCTCACCAAAACAGGAACCGGAAGGCAGTTCAGGGAACTAGTCATCCCTTTCCTGTGACCCATCTCACTATAGATAGTTTGTGGTGGAGAATGTCTGGCTCCCAGGTTTACATGTCTGCCAGGTGAACACTAGAACACAGACCAGCCCTAGTTCGACATTCACAGAAGAGAGATTCTTTCTGGTCCAACTTTGGTCAAAGTGCAAAGATACCATAATAATATGGTTCCACAGCCCTATACCTGTGAATGGGTTGAAGAAGAAGAGCAGTTTTCATAGGCGGACTTGCTGTGGACTTGACAAATCTCTGAAGACACAAGGAGCAAACCAATTTGTTGTTGTTAGAAAATAGTAGTAGCTGGTGGTAATTGGCTGACCACAGAACCCTGTTCTTTTCTTAGGATGCCCTTTAAGCCATAAACCAATCACTATAATTTCTTAGCCAGCATCAAATAGGATAATAGCTTATTTGACATATGAATTCAGAATTTTCTGTTAACCAGAATTTTTTAGATTTGCCTACTGTGATCATTGTTGCTTTGTGATGATAACCTGATAATACTGCAGAACCCTCAAGTGCCTTCTTTCAAAACCATTACATTTAGAAGATTAAATTATGTTTATGTTGTTATTAAATATGCCCTATCATCTAATTATTTTGAAAATTAGGAATTGCTTTTACCTAGAATATGTTATTAACCAAAAGCCTCATTTCCAAACCAGATTGAATAATAGAATTTACTATACATATACTATGTAGAATGTCAAAGCCCAAAGGATCCTCAGAGATTATCTTTCGTAGGTAGCAAATACGTAGCCCAGATGCTACCACTCCATCCTACTATTCCCATGCTAGTAATTAACCACAGCACTGTTTTCCACTGAGTTTACACTTGGCCTCAGAACCCTTCTACAGCACTCCAGGTAACAACCTTCAACTGCTTAGAGTTAGCTTAAAAAACAAAACTTGAGGCCAGGCACAGTGCCTCACACCTGTAATCCCAGCACTTTGGAAGGCTGAGGTGGGTGGATCACCTGAGGTGAGGAGTTTAAGACCAGCCTGGCCAACATGGTGAAACTCCTAAAAATACAAAAAAGTAGCTGGGCGTGGTGGTGGGCACCTGTAATTCCAGCTGCTTGGGAGGCTGAGACAGGAGAATTGCTTGAACCCAGGAGGTGGAGGTTGCAGTGAGCCACGATAGCACCACTGTACTTCAGCCTGGGTGACAGAGTGAGACTCCTTCTCAAAAAAATTAAATTAAATTTTAAAATTAAATAAATAATAAAAACTTTTTAAAAAATGAAAGTTGTTTGCCATCCCACTATTCAAAGGAAAAGTTGAAGCCCAGAAAAGTTAAGTGACATCCACAAGGTTGCACAGTTAATTAGTGGCAGTGAAAATTAGAATTCCCCTCCGCTCCTCACTGCCTCCTCTAGGACTGACTTTCCAGGATGCGCTGTGAGCCTCTTCCATAGCATTCTTAAGAGTTTGGAAAGAAAGTTTCTGTCTTCTCTTTATAGCAATAAGAAAAGATAGAAGAAACCACTTAGAATTCTGAGTTGCCATGCCTCCACTTAGACGGGGCTCTAGGGTTAGTCTGGAAGCAGTCTCATGAACTTGGGCAGTGCTGTCTTGGAGTTCAGGCATAGAATCACAATGAGCCTAGCCCTTCTGTAAAATACAGTAACCCCGGAACAACCATAGGCTTATTATATTAAAATTCTCATGGAAAATAAGGGGCCACAGTTTCTTCAACAAATAAATTCCAAAGGAAAGGTGAGGAAGAGTGAAGAATCTAAAGATTAAGAGACTTTGCAGAAAAATTCCTTAGGCTAATTAGCCATCAGGGAAATGCAAATTCACATTGTAAGTACACGTCACACTAGACAGCTATCAGAATGGCCTGAATAAAAAAAGAAAAGAAAGGAAAAGAACTAACTGTGGGTGAGAGAGGAACTAGAACTCTCATATTCTGCTGGTGGCAGCGTAACTTAATACAACCACTTTGGAAAACAGTCTGGCAACGTCTGCCCAAACTGAACATTTTATACCCCATGAGCCAGCAGCTCCAATCCTAAGTATGAATCTTACAGAAATGCACTCCTGTTTACCAAAAGGCATGTACTAGAATGTTCACAGCATCACGTTGTCCCAGACTATAAAATACCCAAATGTCCATACCTAGCTGAATGGATAAAGTCTGGTTTATTCACATGAAGCCATGCTACATAGCAAAGAGACTGAATGTAAGTGCTCATACACATACACATAATTGGAGTGAAAGAAGCCAGTCACAGAAGAGGACAGATTCTCCCATGTGTTTCTTGTATGTTAGGGTTGGTTTTTAAAGTGTTTAGTGGCTTGAAATGTAGTATCTTTTGTGTTTGCATCATCTTTTATTTCCTTTTCATAACTCTCAGAAAAATGCCTGGCATGTGCTTTTGGGCTCATGTTCCTGGGTATGGAAGTCTATTGATTGAGAGGATGGAGTGCAGAAATACAGATGACCTGTCTCTGCCCTTTCCTCTGCCCAGACCACCTGGTCTACAGAAGGGGACGGGTAATACAAATTTCACATACATGAAAATGCCAGACTTTAAAATGATGTTCTATAAATATAAAATGTCAATTGCCATGAGATGGCTGCACATTTGACAAAAGCCTTGCAAACCCAAAAATAGCTTGCTTTGCTAAGATCCTATCAACAGAGTGTACTTGGCCTGTGTTTAGACAAAGGCGGTGGTGTTGTGTTCACATCTTTGGCAGCTTGCTCAGAGCAGCTTTTCTATGAACAAAATGTGTGCCCAGCCTGGTGGGTCTGGCTTCCCAGCCAAGAGGTTGTGTATTGATTGGTGGTGGGAAATGAGATCTCTTTTCAGCTGGTCTGTGTCCAAAGAAAAAAGTGCCTAATTGGACATCTGAGAAGACATGGAAAAAAATCAGAGCCTGCTGCTCTCATAGCAGGGGACTTCTGATGTATTCTCTGTAATGCCTACCTTGGAATACAGTTCTGTGGTTTTCTTTGAGCAGAACTGGCACTTGTCCCTTCTCACAGACATGGCACTTGTCCCTAGGCAGTACATGATGAGTGGCTTTGATAAATTAAGGTTTTTATTCTGTAAACTAGAACCTTTCTCTCAGTGAGTACCACATTCTGCTTCCTATCTTCATTAACGGCACTGACTTATGCGACCCAAACCTAGAAACCTGGGTCTCGGCCTCTGTTCTCCTTTCCTCCTTATACCTAGTCTCCAAATTCTACTGATAGGGAGAATAGCTCCCCAAACCATTTTGTTCTGTGTCCCCACAACCTGTGAATCACACCAGCCACTCTAAAGCAGTTCCACTAGCAGCTTTCACTGTCTTCTCTTCTAACCTCAGACATCCCTCATAGAGGTTTTTCAAACTAGATCTGATGGAGGTTACTTATCTGCTTAAAATCATTCTGCAGCTTGCCATTACCTAGAGAATGAAGACCAAAAGCCCTGGCCCTCACTGCCCTTCAGAACCTGGCCCCATTCATCCCCCACATTTCGCCTCTTCCTGGCATAGTATTCAGCCATTGACAGTTTTCTGGAATATACCAACATTTGTGTACCTCAGTACCATTTTATGTGTTCTGCCTAAAATATTTTTCCTCCTCTTTTTCTAAATGGCAAACATTTTATCCTTTAATATTAAACTTTCATAACCTCACCACATCACCCTCTGCAAAAGTGGCCTTCTTCTGTGTTGCTAGCACTATGTCTTGTACATATGTCTGTCAGCATATATCACACTAGAGTGAAATGATCTGCTTCCATGTCTGCCTTCCCTACCTGACCAGGAGCTGAAGAAGGCTGGGGATTCCACTCTATCTCTATCCCTAGTTTCTCCTACGCAGGGCTTATTAGCCCCACAAATTTTGTTGTGTAAGTAAATGAAATTCACTGGGCATAAGACCATTGCCTCCAATTCTGATATTCATGGAGTATTATGGGCCATTAATTTTTTGAGATTCAAGTGAGGATAATAACCTGGAAAAACTCTACTTTTAATCTTCACAATTATGGTACTTTAATACCTTTCCTTCTCCTAGGATTATGAATTAAAGTAACTGCCTTGAATCTCTTGTGCATTAAAGCATAGTCAGACCTGAAAATCAGGTCTTGTCACTTGCCATTCCTTTATTCATTTAACACTTTATATACCTTCTCTGTCTTCCTCACAAGTGGTCCTCTGAGGTACATGTTAGTCTGCTTTAAGAATGGGAAACCGAGGTTCATCATGTTCGGTAACCTCTCTGAGGACCTTCGGCTGTTAAATGTTAGATCTAGGATTTGAACTCAAGTCCATTTGACTCCAGAGCTCCTGTTCTCTCCAATACTCAAGTGAGCTTCAAACCTTTTTGCCTGCGAAACCCTTTATAGAATTTAGAAAAACTATAAAGCCCATTAAACATTTTTAATTGGCATGTAAAAATTTTCATCTTGAATTTATGTACTTGCCAAGTATATAATTCCTGGCATGTTATAAATATTGACATTTTAAAATAAAACTGTTAACATAATTCTTTTAAATGTACCCAGTGAGACTTACATAATAATGATTTAGTTATCTATTAAAAGTATGTGAGTAAACTCTTTCTAACAGTCAGGAGCTTTTTTTAATTTTTTTTTTCTTCTTCTTCTTCTTAAACTTAAGTTTTTATTCCACCTTCACTTCCCCCAGATTCTTTCCCTAACATATATTTTGTCATGAATTATTTTATTAACCTATTTTAACACATTTAGTCTCTAAGTTAGAATTATTGCTTAAAACTTTCCCATAACTAGGGCCAGGTGCGGTGGCTCACGCCTGTAATCCCAGCACTTTGGGAGGCCGAGGCGGATGGATCACAAGGTCAAGAGACTGAGACTATCCTGGTCAACATGGTGAAACCCCGTCTCTACTAAAAATACAAAAAATTAGCTGGGCATGGTGGCACGTGCCTGTAATCCCAGCTACTCAGGAGGCTGAGGCAGGAGAATTGCCTGAACCCAGGAGGCGGAGGTTGCGGTGAGCCGAGATCGTGCCATTGCACTCCAGCCTGGGTAACAAGAGCAAAACTCGGTCTCAAAAAAAAAAAAAACTTTCCCATAACTAAAAACAAGGTTTTACAAAAATTTCAGAATTTCTCCTAAATAAGAAGCCAATTTTTTTTTTTTTTTTTTTTTTTTTTTTTTTTTGAGATGGAGTCTCATTCTCTTGCTCAAGCTTGAGTACAGTGGCATGATCGTGGCTCACTGCACCCTCCCGAGTTCAAGCAATTCTCCTATCTCAGCCTCCTGAGTAGCTGGGATTATAGGCGCCTGCCACGATGCCCAGCTAATTTTTGTACTTTTAGTAGAGATGGGGTTTTGCCATGTTGGCCAGGCTGGTCTCAAACTCCTGACCTCAATTGATCTGCCTGCCTCAGCCTCCCAGTTTTGGGATTACAGGTGTGAGCTACTGCACCTGGCACAATAAGTCAATTTTTACTAGAAATGCTTGTCTTCAAAAGACGAATGAGAATTAAATAGTACATATATAGATGGCTATTAATGCTAGAATGAGACAGGATTCAGTATCAATTTTATTCCTATTTTTCATTTTTATAGATATAAGGACTTTGAAACCTTATTTACATAAATGGATAGAAATGGAAGTTTTGTTTAAAGTAGTATCATACAATTCTTAGCACTCCCTTTGAATTTATGTGCTAAAAAATTATATCACAGACTTTCAACAAAAAGTATTTAAAATGATCTGTCAGCTTTCAGTTTAGTAAGATACTCATCAGAGAATTGGAAATCCTCTTGACTTGCGAAAAGATTTGCATGAAGTCATTAAAGTTATTTTCTTTCTTAATCCTGCACAGTATTTTGAATTATCCTTTTGTTTGGTACCCTGGAAAATGGGAGAAAGGCTATAGTAAAAGAGAATGTCTTGATCCAGGCACTACTCAAGCGAGTCAGTTTTAGAAAAAGCATATGGAAACTGCGTATGTAGAAATGGATTTCCTTTAAACTATTCTGGCATCCACCCTGGAAAGTTTTGTGGACCACCTGAGGTATACATACCCCGTGTGATTTTTCTCCAGTTCAACCTCTCCTTTCACATGTCCATAGGTTATTGCAGCCGAAGGAGAAATGAATGCTTCCAGAGCTCTGAAAGAAGCCTCCATGGTCATCACTGAATCTCCTGCAGCCCTTCAGCTCCGATACCTGCAGACACTGACCACCATTGCTGCTGAGAAAAACTCAACAATTGTCTTCCCTCTGCCCATAGATATGCTGCAAGGAATCGTAGGAACAAAACACAGCCACTAGCCTAGCATAGAGGTGAGCGCTACCCTTCCAAGGATGAAGTGAGGGACCAAACTAGCCTTTAACTCATAGAGTAGGGCTTGAATATTCTCCCTCCCTTTCCTTTTCCATATGTCAATTGTGGTGTTCCCAGAATGTATAGCAGTTATAAAAAACAGGTGAAATAACCGTTAGCTTGTAGATACTGAGAGATTGGTGATTTATATAAGGTAATTTGTTGGTCTTTAAATAGTTAAAAGTTTGTATTTTTAGATTATTATGTAGTAGGTTAGATCCCCCTTGTTTTGACTTCCACTCTGTCATTCTGAACCCTCTAAGCACCCAGGCCAGAGGCAAGAACCTAGGCTGTTACTGCCACCTGCCACCGCTGGCTGGATTGCAGAAAGTGACGACCTTATACCACAACCAGCTTCTCTAGGTCGTATGTGCCTTATCTCCAGAGATCCAGAGAGGTTTTTTTTTTTTTTTTTTTTTTTTTTTTTGAGACAGTTTTGCTCTTGTTGCCCAGGCTGGAGAGCAATGGCATGATCTTGGCTCACTGCAACCTCCACCTCCCAGGTTCAAGCAATTCTCCTGCCTCAGCCTCCCCAGTAGCTGGGATTATAGGCATGTGCCACCATGCCCAGCTAATTTTAGTTTTTTTGTTTTTTGTTTTTTGTTTTTTAGTAGAGATGGATTTTCACCATGGTTAATCAAGAACTTCTGACCTCAGGTAATCCACCTGCGTCGGCCTCCCAAAGTGCTGGGATTACAGGTGTAAGCTGGGCCCAGAGGTCTTAATTAAGGAAATTTCCCTAATGTTCATTTATTTTCCAAATCCAAACCAGATTTCAGAATCATCCTTACTTGAGAGTAGCCATTTTCTTGCCTGTACTTGTCATAACTAGGGGAAATAGTCAAGACTAATGAAAAAGATCACCCTAACCCTTCAAAGACTTTTAAATTCACTAGTATAGTGGCCCTTTTAAAAATATGTCCATTTTTTAACTTCTTTGAGCCTTCTTTATGAGTAAATAATTCCTCTGTGTTCTTTCAAACCAGCTAAATATTTGTCACAAAAGTGCTTTTTTCTCACTGTTGCCTATTTTCATATATCAGGTTTTAAATAGTTTTAATTTTACAATAAAATTTTCTCTATATTCGATATGCAGTTGTTATATATCGATTTGAATAGCCTAAGGACTAAAATACTTTTTTAAGAGATAACTTCAGGAAGCCTTATATTTTACTGTCTGCATGCTGTTAACTGTGGTACACTGTGAAATATCTTGATTACAAACCCATTCATTACACAGTATAAGGAATTCACAATATATTGGATACATAATATCTAATGACCTTGGGCAGATACTCTCAAACTGAAGATATCTATATAGATGTAGATCTTTTTAATTTGCCTAGTCATTCTTCTATCATGTATATTGATGCTGAAAGAGGAAGTGATCAGCTCCTCTGGACCACAATTTCTTTGCAATTGTCTGTGAATCTGAGCAACCTGGCATTCTACTTACTGGTCCAGAAAGCTGGTAGGTGACATTTCTAACACTTCTTTGAGACTCTGAGTTCACCTAGGGAAGTCTAAGAATAACAGCTTTCTTTCCCAGCACTAGCCTTTATAGCTGTCCTTAGATGAACGACTCTGTCCATCCAGCCAATAGATGTTCCTTTCCCCTGTACCCCAATTTTAAGCTTATTTTAGGAAACCTTGAACCACCATGTATCCTGGCTCCTAGGTGAGTGTACTAGAGGTATGGAGCAGTGTAACTGAAACTGAAACTCAAGTTGCACTTACATTTTGAATTTTAAAATGATAGTTTTATCTGTTGTGTGAGGTGGCTCACTCTTGAGGACCAGGAGTCTCCATATCCTGACTGAAAATCTTTTCTGAGACTTAGAGTAACCGTGCTTTTGGTTCCTTGAGTTCTCCTGTCTCCAGATACCAGGTGATCTTCACTTTTCTGCCTTGTGAATTCATAATCCCACAGGTTGAAATTAAATCACTTGGGAGGGACGCATAGAAGGAGTTCTAGGAACACATTGCCAGTGCAAGCATTTTTCCAGGTGGCCTCCCTTTCCAACAATGTACATAATAAAGTATATGCACTTTCACTAATATTTTTGGAGTGAGAGTCTGTTTCAGCCTGCATTGAGTATATGTGGATTTCAGTTTTCAGAAGTAATGCATTAGATCCTTCAGTTCTGAGCTGGCTGCTTGGGTTCTTCATATGCTTTGTGGGCCAGGGAGGGGCAGGCTGCTGTGGACCATCTGCTGTCTCCCAGGGCCAGGCCCCCTCTGGTGCACTGGCCCACACACTTTCCCTGGGGAGTTACAGATCCATGCACACACACACACACACACCACAAAGCTTTAACTGGCTTCATTTTCCTTTGCCTTCCTCCAAACGGGACAGGAACCCACTTCTTGCTGTCACCCAGTTAATCACATAGACATACACTTTACTTAAAAAGAGAGAAAAAAATGATATAAAACCAATGGGTTTTACCTGCAGCATCTGACCTCTGAAGAACTGTCTTGAATTAATGGTTACCATTTGGGAGCACCAGTCCCTCAGCTCTGTGTACAAATCCTTGTACATACATTCTATCATTTTATTTCGAAATAGCTTGATAGACACTTTATTGTCATCATTTTGTAGATGAGAACACTGGGGCTCAAAGGTTAAGACAGCCAAAGTCACATGTTTAGAAAGGAACAGAGCTGGGATTCAAACCGAGTTCTAATGCCAAAGATTTGTAAGGTGTATCTGTATCTTCGTGTGACACTGCCTGCCTCTAGCGCCCCCATCCACACACCACCACTACCACTTTATAGATAGATAGAGAGATCACTTTCCCCAAGACTATCACAGTTTATTTGTCTTTATATTCACACCTAGACAGGCCCTAAACTTAAACTTTAGTTATGGGCCATCTGATTCAGCCAAAGTTCATTGCAAAAGGAGGAGAGTTGATTGTACATTTGTAACCACAAATGTGTAAGACACTGACCTGAGCAAGAGGAAACCAGTGTTCCATAGACTTTGAGCTTATGTCGCCTTTTAAAGTATATCATCTCTTTTGATACAAACCTGGTCTCACAGTTACTTGGCTGGTAAATAGTGAATCCGGTGCCCCTCCTCCTCTTTTCAGCAGCAAACCACTTTTTTCAAAGGTAACTGCATTGGTAAAAGGTTTACAATATCTTTTGCCAGGATAAATTCTTGAGTTCACATTTATAACATTTACTGAATATAAAGTAACTCAATGAGAACAATGAGGCTGTTTTGAAAAACAAAAATTAATCAGTTATGAAAGAGTTCCAATCTTCTATTTGGAGTCTACATTCAATTTCTCCATTTTGCTGAAGTGTCTGTTTTTATTACCACTTTGAACATGGAATTTGAAGCTAATGTTTATAAAATCACATAAGCACCTCATAGATTTTTCCGTTTGCAAATCACTGCTCTGGAATGCTTTTCTTGCTATACCATCCACCTTATAATGTAACCTTAGATAAATCATATGTTCTCTCAGCCTCATTTTTTTCTCACCTGTAAAACAAGGAGATTATAGTCCACCTGTTTGGGTCTCAGACCTTTTGAGAGTGTGTTGGAAGCTACAGAGCACTTTGTCTGAAAACTGCACATAGTGTGCACAACACGAAGTTGCATCCTTTAAGGGTACACTGGACTGTACCAAACCCATCCAAAGACTTAAGAAATCCTGGGCTAGATCATGTCTAAGATCCTAACTTCAAAGCTATGTAGTTACCTGAAGAGTTTTTACTTTATAGGAACCAAGGCAAAAGGAACCATGGTTGAATGCCAGCACTGTGCAAGACACTTGACACATCTTTTTTCATTTCAATTTATAATCTCATTTGGCTGTGTTGACCAGGCCACAGGAAAATCCACAGGGATATTAGTGGTGATCTCTTCCTGTGATGTTGTTAACATCAGGTCTACAGCAGATCCAGGCTCAGATCAAGCTAGGATTTGCCTAAACCCGTCATACTTGCTAAGAGGATACGGCTCCTTTCAATCTATCCTATAGCCAGAAGAGTTTACTGAGAAAGGAAATTGAAGGCACATTAAAACTGAGGTTTTAGAATAAACTCTGGAAACTTAGTAATCATAATGTAGTAATCTCTGGAGGAAGGGCCCTTGGGGAATCCATGCTTTTAAAAAGTTCCCTGGGCAATTTGGGTGATCAGCCAGCTTTGGAAACAACAGTGTAAACACACACACACACACACACACACACACACACACACACACACACACAGCCTGCCCATCACTTAAACCCTCACACTGGTTTCTGTTCTTTTACAGTCATATGCACAAGAGCTTTCACATCCTAACTCAGTGGGGATGGATTGGTGGTGGGAGGTGACACAGAACAAGAGGTGGGATAACAAGTGAGAAGAGACCAAAAGGATAGAAGGGGAGGACTGGGGAATGTCCTCCAGCAGCTTCCTTGGACTGGTTTCGAGCCTCCCAGGAGAAAAGATTATGAAACAACATGGAAATATCCAAGACGGACTATGGGACATGCTGAGCATGAGTAGAGTCAGGGCCCAGCGGACGAAGAAGGTCCAGAGGAGTCCCTCTCCCATACCCTGAAGACTGCCAACTTTGAGAGCATCCAGGGGCAGCTCTTACAATGGCAGCTGCTGCAGTAATTTCTCCACATCGCTCTGGGGCAGCAGAATGAATTTGTGGGAACCAGAGGTAGCAAGGAAGGTCCAGGCAGCTGCTACAGGGTATGGCAGCTGTGAGGATGCACCCTGCCCGCTTTCTACTGCAGGGCATATGATTGATAAGGGCTTCGGCTGCTGGCTTTGAACTTCATCCCACATATGCCATGTGCCCCAAGGCCAGGCCTCCCAGTGACTGAGTGCAGGCGGCAGATAAGGCATGCCTGCTTACTGAAGACACGATTCCTTTGCCGGCAGACTTTGACTCTGGCTCAAGAACACTTGAATCAAACAGACACTTGTGTTCACAGCAGCCTTATGCACAATAGCCAAAAGGCACAAATAGCCAAAGGTCCATTGATGGCTGAATAGGTAAACCAGATGTGGTATACACATGCAGCAGAATATTACCCAGCCACAAAAAGGAGTGAAAAGTTGATATAGGCTACAACACGGGTAAGTCTTGAAAACACTCTGCTAAGGGAAATAAGCACACACACAGGACAAATGTCGTATGATTCCACTTACATGAAGTCCCTGGTGTAGTCAAATTCTGAGACTGAAAGTAAAATACAGGTTACCAGGGGCTGGCAAATAGGGAGGAATGGGGAATTATTATTTAACGGGCAGAGCGTTTCTTTGGGGCATATCAAAAAGGTTTGGGTACAGAGAGTGTTGATGACTACACAACACCGCATGTGCAATGTTACTGAAATACTCACGAATGATTAAAATGATAAATGAACTTCATTCTTATGCACAGTTTGCCACAATAAAAAAACAACAAAAATGGGACTATACCATTAAATTTTAAAAGAACACTGAATTTGGCTTTAGGACTGCCCACAAGCCTTGCCAAATCTTCCTGGACTACGTGACCACATAAGACACTTCCATGCAACCTTCTTTCCCTTTCTACTTCACCTAGGGTAGAGTCTCGGGTCCAGTGACCCTCCCAGTCTTCCGTGGTTCCCTCCCTATTTCCTTTCTTTTGAGACAGAATCTTGCTCTGTTGCCCAGGCTGGAGTGCAATGGCACAATCTTGGCTCATTGTAACGTCTGCCTCCTGGGTTCAAGAGATTCTTCTGTCTCAGTCTCCCAAGTAGCTTGGATTACAGGCATGTGCCATTACGTCCAATTTTTATTTTATTTTATTTTATTTTTATTTTTTATTTTTAGTAGAGAGAGGCTTTCATCATGTTGGCCAGGCTGGTCTCGAACTCCGGAGCTCAGGTGATCCACCTGTCTTGGCCTCCCAAAGTGCTGGGTTTATAGGCATGAGCCACCATGCCCAGCTCCTCCCTATTTCCTTTTACATAGGTATCCCTCTAGGACAATCTATACACATCGCTTCTCACTGTGGCATCGCTTCTCAGGGCACCAAGATTCACACACACAGTGGATGTAGCTTACCTACCAGTTCAGGGGCAAATGCTAGGCACCTCTCTGGGCATTCTCAGAATCACCAGGGACATACTCAGGTAGGGCAGACGCTGGCTCTCACTGTCAGTTGGGCACAAGTAAACAGTTGAGCCACACTAGAGTACGCACTTCAAAATGTTTTTATTGAATTCAATTTCCCAAACACAGACATTTTAGACAATTTTGCAAGGACCCTGAATTTTTTCAGGGCTATTTTTGGATACTGTAAAAAAAAAAAAAAAAAAAAAAAAAGAAAGAAAACAACACGCACACACACACAGCAGAGTTGCTCTGCTCACTGTAAGGCCTCTTTGAGGGAAGGACACTTCCAAAAGGCACTGACTGGTGACACGGTGGGTCCTGCCCCTCCTCAGGCAGCCAGCTCAGCCATGGCCCTGTCCAAGGGGTCCACAGACCAGTAATCATCATCCCAGCCAAGGAACCAGCCCACAAAGGAGGGAGGCTCGAAGCCTTGCTTCACCACGGTGATGGGCGTCCGCCTATCCCGATTGGCTGGGTCCGTCTCAATATACCGCTTAGCTGCAGACACACATGCGAGAAAAGGAAACCCCAGAATCCTTAGTGCCTCCCTCACCAGGGAGAGGGTGACTCAGGATAGGAGTTGACAAAGAAGAATGTCTATGGTCCCACAGTCCCTACTGCCCACCCCCTGCCCTGAGCACCAACTTCCCTTACAGGCATGATACCCACGTGTGTTCTCCACCACGCTGCTCAGGAATACGGGAAGGAACAGGGGCTACAGCTTAGCCACCTTCTTCATAAAATGTACTACTTTTCCCTTGCAGTCCCCTACTGAAGGTATGGGAACCAACTTTTGGGTTCCCACCTCCAAAATCAGATCTAGTCAACTACCAGGAATCTGCTTTGCAACATCGTTTTCTTTTTTTGTTTTGTTTTGTTTTTTTTTTTTTGAGACACCATCTCGTTCTGTCACCCAGGCTACAGCAGAGTGGTGCGATCATAGCTCACAGCAGCC